GTGACCGCGCCTGGCTATGTTTGTTTTCTTTGTGGCAAAATTAAGATTAGGAGAGGTTAAATAACTTGACCAGGTCACAGCAGGTAAGTGGTGGAGCTGGGTTGGGCAATCTGACTATAGTTCTTCAATCCGAACTATCCCACTGTGCTGGGAGAGGATGGGCTGTGTGAGGTGAGAGGGACTGACCCAGCAGAGGTAGTAGAATCCAGGAAAAGTGCTCCATCGCAGGCGATGGATCTGAGCTTGCATCCTGGATTCCCTGCGTACTATGTATACGAGCTTTGACTTACCTCCCTGATCAGAAGCAACATGAGATGGGAATAACAATTACCTTGTACTGTTATATTGGGAATTCAGAATGATCGCAGAAAGTGCTTGGCACAGACAGGTCTTAGTAAGTAATTGTTCTTTATTCTAAGAGAAGGAGTGGGGCACCTTTAGCCTCTTTCTTACATATGAGAGATAAGTGGCCCATGGATGAATGAGACTTGGTGCCTTAGTTTGTTTGTGTTACTAAAACAATACAACATACTGGGTAGTCTACAAAGAAAAGAAATTTATTTCTTATAGTTCTGGAGGCCAGGAAGTGGACGTCCCTGGAGGTCAGGGGCCCACATCTGGCGAGGGCCATCCTGTGGCAGGAGGTAGAAGAGCAAGAAAGCAGGCGGGAGGGTAAGACGGAGAATGGACTTGGCCTCTTCTCAGGAACCCACTCCCATGATACTAACCCAGTCCTGCAGTACAGCATCATTCCATACTTGAGGGCAAAGACCTCATGACCTAATCACATCTTAAAGGTCTCACCTTTTAGCACTGTTGCATTGAGGATTAAGTTTCCAACCCATGAACTTTGGGGGACACATTCAGACCATAGCACATGTGGCCTTGCCCTTGAAGTCAGTCTACAAGGTAGACATTGCTATGGCTGAACTCCTCAGAGTTTACATACGACACTTTGTGCACTTTAAACCTCTCACAGCACTGCTGTGAAGCAAAGAGCAAAGCTGAGAGTTTCCCCCATTCAGGTGTGAAAAGCAAAGGCCCAGAGAAGTTAGGTGAGTTGCCTAAAGCCTTAAGCCAAACCAGCATCCGTTATTTTTTTGTTGAGATTAATAGATTCATAAAGTTTGCCATCCTTATTAATGGATAAACCCAAGCTGTCCCACATGGCACTTTAAATTTTAGTTCATTAATATTAAAAATCTCATTTCCACTGGCCACATTTTACATGGGGCTAGGGGCTGCCGTATTGTACAATGTAGATCTAGAACATGTTTGTTGCAGTAGAAAGTCCTCTGGGACAGTACGAGCTGTTACGAAGGCTTTCACTTAATTGGAAAGCAGAGCAGTATTGTGACTCAGGATGTAGCATGTGGATGATCTCATTTGCCGTGAAGTTTATCTCTGTTTGGGGGAGAGGCTTAGGGAGTCAAGTGACTTCCCTGCTTCATCCTCCATGCAAGCCTCGGGTTCCTGACTGGGAAAGTAGATAGTCCTGGGAGCAGCTTCACTGGGTGCCTGTGAAGATGAGGTGATGTAACATCTTTGAGGCGCTTCACACTATGCTTGTCTCAGAATAGGCACTCCATAGTACCCTTTCTTAACCATAAGTTGTATTCTGTATCAGAATATTGTTTTGTCTTTTTTTCAATGAGCAGAATTTCTTTTCTTTTTTTTTTTTTTTTTTG